TCCATGAAAATGACAAACAGGAGTGGAGACAAGACGCACCCTTGGCAGAGTCTGACACCCACCGTGAACGACTTTGATTTAACACCAAGATTATGGACACAGCTCTCACTCCGGGTATAGAGGGACTGGTTAGCGCACAAAAGCGGCACCGGTACATCATTCTCCTTCAGCACCTCCCACAAGACATTGTGCGGAACACGGTCATATGCTTTCTCCAGTCGACCCCTCAAATATCTGTGAGAGGGAAAAGAGCTGGTCCATTGTTCCACGACCATGACGGAATCCACATTGTTTCTCCTGAATGTGAGGCTCGACCACCGGACGGAGCCTCCTCTCCAGCTTGACCTGGAACGTTGAGGAGTGCGATTCCTCTATAGTTGGAGCATACCCTCTGGTCCTCTTTTTTAAAAATGGCAACCACGACCCCAGTTTTCCAATCCAGAACATTGAAGAGGCATGTTAAGCATGACACTCATACACTATCCAACGCTTTCAACAACTCTGGGTTAATCTCGTCCACCCCAGCAGTTTTGCCACTAAAAAGTCTCAACCGCTGCAGCGACTTCAGCAACTGTAATGGATCTGACGCCCCCCCCCCCAACTGCTTCCAGGGCTATCCAACGGGTTCAGGAGCTCCTCACCTCTCGACTGTCTCTTTAGTTGAGGTCAATGTTACGCCACCCTTACTGAAAACAGCCTGGGCCATGTCCTGTCGATCCCCCCTAAATCGATGGATGGTTTTCCAGAACATCTTTTAGGCTGCCCGTTAGTCCCTGTCTATGGCCTCTCCAAACTCCTCCCACGCCCGGGTTTTTGCTTCAGCAACTGCTGCAGCTGCCACCCTCTTGGCATGCCGGTACCTCTCAATTGAGTGTGTTGTCATTATGGGCAGCCCGGGTTACGGGATGCAGTACCAACCCGAGCGGGGGTTTGGTGAGCGCTGGTTAGCGCGGAGGCACCATGAGCAGTGTGCGGTGCCGGCTCCTCGTGAGGGAGCAAGAGGCGTCAGCCAGCCAGGGTTACCCTGGGCATGATACTCTAGTTGACCTGCTGTCACGTGACCGGACGATACTGGAGGGAGGCCACCGGTGGACGGGGGCTGTGCGGCGGTCACGTGATCCAAAGGAGCTCTCGAGAAGCTTCGAGAAGGAGCTCGAGAGGTCTGTAAGGTGGGCGGGGCGAAGGGCAGAGCCAGCCCCAGCCCGGGAGCATATACCGAAGGCCTCGTGAGAAGCTCGGGGTTCTTGACGTGTTGGTGTTGGAAGATCCACGTCGGGGAGAAGAAGCCTCCAGCCACACGGTCCGGGACCCAGCTTGTGGTCCGGACCGGTATAGTGAACCATGTCTAGTTCTGCCGTAGTGTGGTTAGATGAGCATTTGAGACCCGAGTGGAGTCCGTGTTACGTTACGTGTTGATGTACAATAAATAGTGTTGCTCCCAAGTTAATGTCTGCGACTCGGTTGGACTCACTACACATGCATTACACACAAGATACACACATTACACTCAATATACACACATCACAAACTACACATTACACACATCACACACAATATATACATATGCAACACAATTACACAATATACACACATTACACATGCTACACACAATATACACTATACATACACAGTACACCCACACTAGTCACGTGACACAATATACATACAATATACAAACGCATTACACACAATACACACATTACACACACTATACACACACGTTATACATTTACATACAGTATACCCAGCAGATACATATACACACTGCACATACTAGACTATATACATACACATTACACACACCTAAACATTACGCTTACATATTAGACACTCACACGCAGTACACTCAGAACATATACGTACACACAAGAAATATATACACCCAGCATATATATATACACATTACAGACAATATACAGACATTATACACTCAGGATCATAATATTTATAATGGAGGAATCTGGTGAGCTATAAAGATATGTTTCACAGATGTCCAGTAGGGACGAGTAAGAAGGTTACAACAATAAATACAAAAACATGGTAGTCTTGAAAAGTACAAGAAAGGTAAGCAAAATCACCCAAACACATACATATAAATCTAAACCATCTGCATCATACCAATACTAGTACACCCAGCCGAACAGAAGCTGCTTGGACATGCAGTGGGTGGGCATGTGGGCTACATGACCCAGCCAAGGCAAACTCGCTTGCAAGGAGTAGGTCACCGATTTTTGTTTACTATTTTTAATTTTAGCAGGTAAGACCCCACTGAGATACTATATAGCTCTTTTTCAGAAGTGACTCAGCCGCAAATGATAGTCCACTGAAGTGGCTCATCATGTGGACATTTATATCAGGCAAATATTCTAAATGCAAAATTCTAAATGTGGAGGGGAACACTGGAGGACCCGGAGAAAAATCCACACGACCATGGGGAGAGACACATGCAAACGCCAAATATACAGGTATCGGGGTCGGGACTGAATCCACAACCTTCTGTATACCAAGCAAGGTAGTTAACATCTTGTACCTCCTGCATGCTGGGTGGTTCTTCCACATCCTGAGGGATTTGGTTTATAAATTCCATCTCAAAGAGATGTACTTCAATTGAGTTCTTTCCACCGGAATTTGATTTGTTCATCACCCTTCAGGAGCTTGTGTCCATCTTTTGAGCGAAGGGGGTTTAGGCCAAAGTAGTCAACATCTTGAAAATTATGGTGCCACTGATGGGACTGTGTCCAGATGTTTCAATGATCTCTGAACCCCTCGTAATTTCCAGTCTCGTTAAACCCAGGAAGTGTCCTAGGCAGGCTAGCCTGGCGCAGATGTTCAGTTGGAGGGCTCCACTTTTCACAAGCATTGATAAGGGAGGGCATAATAGTGGCTGAGACGACCCGGAGCTTTGTATGAAGCGACAGGCCAGGTAGCTTCCACACACTACACAGCTGATGAAGGATGAAATGATAATGCCGCTTGATCTTGGCTGCCAAACCGCAGCTGGTCATAATCAAGCTGTCTACGTACAGACACTTCTCCACTCTCTCCAAAACTGCCCCATCACCAATGGGGACTTGAGTCGGTGGAGTATTTGATGGCACAAAATATCCAGGCAGGTGCTTAGTTTTGGTGGGGCTGATGGTAAGGCCCCGCCGACCTCTTAGTAGCATGACACAGATTCAGGAGCAGCGCATCCAACTTTTCAGAATGAGCAGCAATCACTAGATAAACATAATATGGTTGACCAATAGGGAGCCATCTCTCGACCACACCCGGGTATCAATCAGTCTCCCATGGTATCTGTAGCAGATGGAGATTCCTCTGGTATAGCCATGTAAGGATTGTGAGCAGTCAGAACCCAGAGCCCACGCCAATTTATGATATCATAGGTCTTGACCAGGTCAATAAAGCACAGATTAAAGACATTTAGGATTTCCTACACCTCTGCTGTAGCAGGCGGACATAAAATATAGTGTCTGTGCAGGACTGCCCTGGCCCGAAACACCAATGGGGCTCCACAAACCTCCACTCAGTGTGCCTAGCAAGGCAATGTTGAATAATCCTTGCCAGGACCTTTCCTGGCACACTGAGCAGGGAGATGTCACTGTAGTTGTCTGTTCGGTCCCCTTCTTAAAGATGGGGGCCACCAGGGGATCGTTCCATTCGTGCGAAAGATCTCCATTAGTCCAGACTGTTATTGTCATATAAGGCAGTCTGCACACAAATGCCACCCTCCCTCAGCATTTCAGACAGCCACTCACAAGGGGTGGTTACTTCTTCCAACATTCAAGGCACAGTAGCCTCTGTAGGGTCATACCCACTTTGCCCCATAACGTTTTCTGGGCATATGGATTTTCCTTACCTGAAGATCTCACATAAATGCTTAGCAAACCTTCAAACCTGTTTCTGGGGGTCAGAGATTTGATCAACCTTCTTTCCCCTCAAGATGGTGATAGGTGTGGTTCTGCGAGAAACGTTTTAATGAAATTAAAGAGTGATTTGTGATCGCGGGCTAAGGAAGATGCCATCTCCACAGAAACCTGGGACCACCACTCATCCAGCGAAGGCTGAAGGAAGCCTCATTCACCGACGTGAGATGCTGTAGATAGTGGGAGTGGGCCTGTCGCTTTTTCTCAGCCAGCCGGAACACCTCCTTCAGCCAAGGGTCTTTGAGGTTTGGACCGTGTAACCAAAGCAGTCACTGCAGCTGCATGAGCCAGTCATAAACCTTGCCCATTTCCCTTCGGCATCAGGAGCAGCGAGAGACGATGTCAACCTCAGCTGCAATCGATGATGAATTTCTTGCGAGCTGAGACGAGGCCACTGTGGTTTTAATGGGGTTACTAGATGTACACCCACCACTGGAGTGGAAGAATGGCAGGTGCATCTTACAGATAACAAGCCAATGGTCAGTGTGCAGATGAGCTCCCTGGTAGGTCCTGGTGTCAAGGACATGGGCCTGCATCCACTGTTACATCACTATATAGTCCAGCAGATGTTCTCGCTTGGACCGGGCGTGCATCCATGATGTGGTGTGGATGATGCGTGGATGCCAGACCGTGGTTGGTAATTACAAGCCCATGGGCTGCACAACCACAACAACCATCAACACAACCACAAAGACAACCACCAACACAACCACCACCTCCACCACACCCACCACTACTACCACCACCACTACCACCTCTCCAACTACCACCATAACCACTACCATCACTACAACCACCATAACCACTACCAACTCCCCATCTACCACCACCACATCTCCCCATCTACCACCACCACTACTACCACCACAACAACCACCACCATCTCACCACCGCACCTCTGCTCAGAGACCCACCGAGTCAAATCCACTTCCTGGTTCAGGGGTCGTCTCGGGACGTCTCTGGTGGCGTTGTGGAGGGGGAAGTTTCCGGTGACGTCACGAACAGGGGGGGGTCTCCTCTGTGGACGTCACGAGCGGGGGAGAAGGCGTATCTGCTGACGTCACGATGGGAGTAAGCCCCCTGCACAGCCCCTCCTCTCTCTGACGCAACGAGACGACCTCTGAACCAGGAAGTGGAGTTGGGAGTCGACTCCGGTGGTTGTCTGAGCAAGAGGTGCGGTGGTGGTTGTTGTTGTGGTGGTTGTTGTTGTGGTAGATGGGGAGATGGTGGTTGTTGTTGTGGTGGTAGTAGTAGTGGTGGTTGTTGTGGTGGTGGTAGTAGATGGGGAGATGGTGGTTGTTGTGGTGGTTGATGTGGTGGTGGTAGTAGTAGTGGTGGTAGATGGGGAGATGGTGGTTGTTGTTGTGGTGGTAGTAGTGGTGGTAGATGGGGAGATGGTGGCTGTGGTGGTGGTTGTTTGTGGTGGTGGTTGTGGTGGTGCTTGTGGTTGTGTTGTTTGTGGTGGTGGTTGTATTGTTTGTGGTGGTGGTTGTGGTGGTGTTGGTTGTGGTGGTGCTTGTGGGAAGCGGTAGTGTAGCGGTTAGTGCGCTGCGCTACGAATCTGGCCACCTGGGTTCGATTCCCGCTCACGGCCAACACCAGTAACTCTTTGGACCGGTTGTGGTGATGGAGGTTATGGGGGTGATGGTGGTCGTTGTGGTGGTGGTAGTTGTGGTGGTGATGATAGTTGTGGTGGTGGTGATGATGATGGTTGATAGTTGTGGTGGTGATGGTGGCAGTGATTGTGGTGGAGGTTGTGATGGTTGTGGCGATTCCTTTTCTACTTTCTGTCCTTTTTATCCTAAGCCCGGCTCATACCTTCACTGCACCGCGGAGAACGACGCTCAGGACTGAGTCCTTCGCTGCTGCTGTTGTTATTCTGCCTCGGTGCGTCCACATCATCTGTCCTAAGCCGACTCGCGATAGCTTGTGGTGAGTCCTAGGGTGATGTCAACTACCTCACCTGGTATACAGGAATGCGTGGGTTCGATCCCGACCCCCTGACACCTGCTGCTGTATATTTTGGAGGTTGCGTTTCTCTCTCTCATCATCATCATGGTGATTAGGAGATGGTAACTATTTCGCCTGGTATACAGGAGTTCATGGGTTTGATCCAGACACCCTGACGCCTACTTTGGTATATTTGGAGTTTGCGTGTCTCTCATCATCGCAAAGACAAGGAGACGTTCTCAGATATACATGAGGTGATGGTTTCGATCCTGACCCTGACACCTGCTCTATATTCTATTGTTCTTTCGGTGAATTCACGACGATAGAAAAAATAACAAAATAAAAATGAAAATGAAGTGAATTAAAACGTATTAAACAATATCATCATCTCCCTGTTCCGGATGACGACCGCTTGTGTTGCGATCGAAACCTCGTGATATTTTTATTATTTTTTATTCACTTTATTTTCATATTTATTTTTATTACTTTATTGTAATATTTTTTTCTATCTACGTGACTTTACCGAAAGAACCATAGAATATACAGAATATGAATTCCTGCAGTCACGAAAGTTTTAAGTCAAAATTTAACCTGCTGTATATTTTGATTTTGCATGTCTCTCTCTTCCCATCATCACGGTGGCTATGAGATGTGAACTACCTCGCATGTTATACAGGAAGTCGTGGGTTCGAGCCCGACCTTGACGCCTGCTGTATATTTGGAGTATGTAATGTGTGTGTATTTTTGTAATGTGTATGTAGTGTACATTATGTGTGTGTAATATATATGTACAGTGTGCGCTGTGTGAGTGTAATGTGGATGTACAGTAAATACTGTTTGTGTAATGTGTATCTACAGTGTATACTGTGAGTGTAATGTCTATCCTTCAGTGTATATTGTGTGAGTGTGTAATGTGTATGTGCAGTGTATACTGTGGTGTGAGTAATGTGTGTATACTGTGTGTGATGTGTGTATGTACACTGTATATTGAGTGTTACTCTTTGGTTCTTTCGGGAAAGTCACGTAGAAATACATATAATAATAGAATACGACGTTTCAATTGCAACTCAAGCAATTGTCATTAGGTACGATTGAATGAGAAAACAAACCTAGTAAACTTAGAAATACAATGTAATGCAACACATAGAGTCAGCTAACATAACAGTCAACACCATACCTGGTTGATTACGTTCTTCCAAAAATTGCTAAATTTGAGAGAGAGACAAAACACAGAGACGGAGACACATAGACACACAAGCAGAGAGAGACTCACACAGAGACAGAGAGAGACACACACATAGGCACACAGAAACAACGCCTATGTGTCGAGGCCTTAAATAGAAAGGGGGGGGTAGAGAACAATGAGAGAGTTGTGTAGAATTCCTGCCCATAGCGGACAGACGAGCTAGACACTGGACTTCTAAACAAACAAGCACAGAGAAAGCAAATTTAGTAAAATTAGAAAGTGTAATGCAATGCGACACAGAGAGTCGGTTAACAAACAGTTAACGAATAGCCTGGTTGATTACGTTCTTTCAAAGATTGCTCAATTAGAAGTGTGAAACAAACAAGCACGGCAAATCCTCCCCGTAGAGGTGGTTGAAACTGGATTCGAAGCTTTTGTGACTGCAGGATTTATTCTTTGGTTAGCCGACTCTCTGTGTTATATTGCATTATATTTATACATTTACTAGGTTTGTTTTCTCATTTATTCGTACCTGATGACGGTTGCTTGTGTTGCAAACGAAATGTCGTATTCTATTATTATTTAATTTAATTTCTTTCTACGTGACTTTACCGAAAGAGCCAAAGAGCAATTCCTGCAGTCGCGAAAGCTTCGAATCTAGTTTTATATTGAGTGTGTGATGCATATGTGTGTCACGCACACACGTGCGCGTGTGTAAATGTACACCCAGCAGAATCAACGACATGCAGCAGACGCCCAACACGCAGCCAACCGTCGCCAGAAGCCACAAATATGAGGAGCAGCAGCAGCAACATGACCTGGACACCAATAATCAGCCTGAAAACCCCAACCCACACTCCAAACCCCGGCCCGTTGCTGCCACCATCACCGCCAAGAAGAAGAAGACCTTCCAGTGCCCCGCGTGTGCGAAGGCGTTCAAGCAGTCGTCGCACCTCCAGATCCACCTGAGGTCCCACACGGGCGAGAAGCCCTTTGTGTGCGCCGCGTGCGACCGGCCGTTCCGGCAGCTCGCCCACCTCCAGATGCACCTGAGGACGCACACGGACGAGAGGCCGTTCGCGTGCTCCCTATGCAGCAGGGCGTTCAAGCAGTCGGCGTCCCTCGGCGTCCACCTGCGGACGCACACTGGCGAGAGGCCGTTCGCGTGCAGTGTCTGCGGGAAGGCGTTCGCCGAGTCGGCGCACTTCCGCAAGCACCTGAGAACGCACACGGGCGAAAGGCCGTTCGTGTGCACCGCGTGCGGCCGGGCATTTGGTGAGCGTTCGTATCTGCACAACCACCAGCGGACGCACACGGGCGAGAGGCCGTTCGCGTGTGGCATCTGTGGGAAGGCTTTCGCACGCTCCGAGGCCCGCAGGAGGCACGAGAAGATCCACATGGCGGCGGAGATGGAGCTGGAGACGGCAGCAGTGGCGATGGAGATGAACAAGGCGACGGCGATGGAGACGGAGAAGGCGACGGTGGAGACGAAAAAGGCGACGGTGGAGACGAAAAAGGCAGCGGCGATGGAGACGAAGAAGGCGGTGGAGACGAAGAAGGCGGTGGAGACGAAGAAGACGGTGGAGACAAAGAAGACGATGATGAAGGTGGTGGTGATGGAGATGAAGAAGGCAGCAGTGATGGGGACGAAGAAGTCAGCAGTGATGGAGACGAAGAAGGCAGCGGTGATGGGGATGAAGAAGACAGCGGTGATGGGGACGAAGAAGGCGGCGGTGATGGGGACGAAGAAGGCGGCGGTGATGGGGACGAAGAAGGCGGCGGTGATGGAAATGAAGAAGGCGGTGGTGACGAAGATGAAGGTGGTGGAGGAGTTGAGACGGGAAAGCCAAGTCGCCGCTTCGAGCCAGCCTGGCGCGCGGCAAGAGCCGGAGAACCACGGCACCGGCTTTTTGGCGACGTGGCCGACAGTGAAGGTGGAACGCATAGAGGCGGACGTGGAATGTGGCGGCGGTGGCAACGAAGAGGCTGAAGCAGAAGAGGAAGAGGTCAAGAAGGTGGCGAATTTGAAAAGTGAAGGAGTGACGGTGAAATGCGAGGGGGAGATGTGAAAGACGACGAAGATTTGGGGGGGGGGGGGGGTGGGGGGGGGTTACCTCCTGCTGGACGTTACCTCGGTACCTCGGGATAGAGGTGTGTGCGGTGGTGTTTGGAGTGTAATGCATGGTGGTAGTGGTGATGATATAGGTGGTGGTGGTGGTGGAAGTGCTTATAATGGAGGTTGTGGTGATCGTGGTGGTGGTGGTGTACAGTGCAGTGCAAACTCGTAGGTCTGCTTGAGAAGCCACAAGCTTTTGCAGCAGTGCTAAGCTGTGTGTTTGCAGCAGTGCTTAGCTGTGTTTGCAGCAGGGTGTGTAGCTCTGCGTGCAGCAGGGCATAGCTGTGTGTGTGTCCAGCAGTGCTTAGCTGTATGTGCAGCAGTGCCGCTTTTATGTGAAGCAGTACGTACATAGTTGTGTGTGTGGACCTGTGTGTTGTATCAGTGTTGGGCCAAGTGCTCTTAGTAGTGAGTAGTAGCAGCACCTATGAAGGCCGGTACTGTGGCACACACAGGGGGTGGGTAGTAGCCAGCACCATGTCCGGCTGCCTTTGTCTCCCTAGTGGCGATGTTTATTTATACACCACCGCACCAGGTACTCATTTGAGGCTGAGTCGACCTAGGGGAGGCCCAGGACAGGTTCAGAAACTCGTCACTGGGTGTTGGTGGCCGTGAGCGGGAATCGAACTCAGGTCATAGCTGGGTTCATAGCATAGCAGTGCAGAGCTAACCGCTATAACACTGCTCCCCACAGTCTGTTCAGACTATACGGGGGATCTTTGTCTTTGTAGCAGTGTGTACATACCTTGAAACTACTCTGGTATGTGCGTAGCCAGTCGTGCTAATCGGTAGGCACTAGCGGTGTGTTCTATTAGCTGTTCTAGGTGCACACTGCTGCTGTTGTGCTCAAGTGTTCACCAGTGGTGTCAAATGTTCACTTTGGTCGGTGTTTGTGGATGAGGACAAGTTTGCATAGGGGCTGTGTGTGTGTGTGCATGTGGGAATGCTCCATGGTGGGGAGCGGCAATAGTGTGGTCGCGCTGAGCACTACGATACGAACCCAGCAAGAGACCCAAGTTCAGTTGTCGCTCACGGCCACCATCACCATTGATAGTCATTGTCTGAACCGGTTCTAGGCCTCTCTCTAGAGTCGACTCAGCCTCAAATAAGTATCCGGTTCGGTGGTGTGCAGTAAACATCTCCACTGGGGAGACAAAGGCGGCCCAGTGTGGCACTGGCCACCCACTCCTCGTCTGTATGTGCCACAGTGCCGGCCTTCATTGGTGCTGCTAGCTAACAGAACTTGCCCCAACAGTCTGTTATGGGCTATACGGGGGATCTTTGTGTGTCTGATTTAGTGAATGGGTGAGTAACTGTTAGTACCTTTGGAATGCTTTAACGTTGTCAGTTGGCCCAGTCGGCCAGGACAGATGATGTGTAGACAGAGTAGAACACAATAACCGCCACAATATCCACCACCAAAATCACTACGATAACAACCACCGTCACAACAACCACCACCACAACCACCACCGCAACAACAACCACAACAACCACTCCAACAACCACCACAACCATACTTCTACCTGGCCAATGGGAACGAGTTGAGTGCTATTCTAAGTATGAAAATAGATTTACGCGCAGTAGGGACGAGTATGGACTAGTAGGGATTAGTATAGACGAGTATGAAGTAGTTGGGACGAGTAGGGACTAGTGGGACCAGTAGGGAATAGTATGGACTAATATGGACTACGCGTGTATGTGGATTTTTTTTCTGGGGGTGTGGCTATGCCTATTTACACAACATACACATCACACTGAAATTGTACACACATCACATTCACAAGGTACACACATCACATTCACAAGGTACACACATCACACTCAAAGTATACATACAGTGAGGGAAAAAAGTATTTGATCCCCTGCTGATTTTGTACGTTTGCCCACTAACAAAGAAATGATCCGTCTATAATTTTAATGGTTGGTTTATTTGAACAGTGAGAGACATAATAACAACAAAAACATCCGGAAAAACGCATTTTAAAAAAAATGTTATAAATTGATTTGCATTTTAATGAGGGAAATAAGTATTTGACCCCCTCTCAATCAGAAAGATTTCTGGATCCCAGGTGTCTTTTTTTACAGGTAACGAGCTGAGATTCGGAGCACACTCTTAAAGGGAGTGCTCCTAATCTCAGCTTGTTACCTGTATAAAAGACAATTGTCCACAGAAGCAATCAATCAGATTCCAAACTCTCCACCATGACCAAGACCAAAGAGCTCTCCAAGGATGTCAGGGACAAGATTGTAGACCTACACAAGGCTGGAATGGGCTATAAGACCATTGCCAAGCAGCTTGGTGAGACGGTGCCAACAGTTGGTGCGATTATTCGCAAATGGAAGAAACACAAAATAACTGTCAATCTCCCACGGCCTGGGGCTCCATGCAAGATCTCACCTCGTGGAGTTGCAATGATCATGAAAACGGTGAGGAATCAGCCCAGAACTACACGGGAGTATCTTGTCAATGATCTCAAGGCAGCTGGGACCATAGTCACCAAGAAAACAATTGGTAACACTACGCCGTGAAGGACTGAAATCCTGCAGCGCCCTCAAGGTCCCCCTGCTCAAGAAAGCACATATACATGCCCGTCTGAAGTTTGCCAATGAACATCTGAATGATTCAGAGGACAACTGGGTGAGATGAGACCAAAATAGAGCTCTTTGGCATCAACTCGACTCGCCGTGTTTGGAAGAGGAGGAATGCTGCCAATGACCCCAAGAACACCATCCCCACCGTCAAACATGGAGGTTGGAAACATTATGCTTTGGGGGTGTTTTTCTGCTAAGGAGACAGGTCAACTTCACTGCATCAAAGGGACGATGGACGGGGCCATGTACCGTCAGATCTTGGGTGAGAACCTCCTTCCCTCAGCCAGGGCATTGAAAATGGGTCGTGGATGGGAATTTCAGCATGACAATGACCCAAAACACACGGCCAAGACAACAAAGCAGTGGCTCAAGAAGAAGCACATTAAGGTCCTGGAGTGGCCTAGCCAGTCTCCAGACCTTAATCCCATAGAAAATCTGTGGAAGGAGCAGAGTTCGAGTTGCCAAACGTCAGCCTCGAAACCTTAATGACTTGGAGAAGATCTGCAAAGAGGAGTGGGACAAAATCCCTCCTGAGATATGTGCAAAGCTGGTGGCCAACTACAAGAAACGTCTGAACTCTGTGATTGCCAACAAGGGTTTTGCCACCAAGTACTAAGTCATGTTTTGCAGAGGGGTCAAATACTTATTTCCCTCATTAAAATGCAAATCAATTTATAAAATTTTTGACATGCGTTTTTCTGGATTGTTTTATTGTTATTCTGTCTCTCACTGTTCAAATAAACCTACCATTAAAATTATAGACTGATCATTTCTTCGTCAGTGGGCAAACGTACACAATTAGCAGGGGATCAAATACTTTTTTCCCTCACTGTACATACTCGGTGTACAAACCTCACACTCACAACATACACCCATCACACTCAGTATACACCCATCACACTCAGTATACACCCATCACACTCACAACATACACTCAGCACACTCACAGCGTACACATCACAGTCACTGTACACACATCACTCACAACGTACACACATTACACTCAGTGTACACCCATCCCACAATGTACGCATATCACAAAGACAATGCACTATCAAAGTAATGAGGGCTCGGGGTGAGCATTTACATCATTAGACCTCCTTTGCCAGTACCAAAATGTAATAGGGTTTTCCCCTTTTTTCTGGCAACAAAACTGAAACCTTTTAACAATAATTCTTTGAGCTGTACGCCTTCTGGCGTCATGTGGTCAAGCACCAATTGGGTCGAGGCTCAAAAGAAAGCCGTCCCTTGGTGTGGACCAATCAGTTTTAAGGACAATGCATATATTGTCATAGTATGTTTTTTGTTTGCATTTTGACTGCAGGTATTGTGGTTAATGCAGACATGAATTCTCGTAAAAAGGTTTAAGTTTTGTTGCCAGAAAAAAGGGGAAAAACTCTATTATTAGAAATGTTTGTTTTAATATTTGTGTGTTTTTTTATTTAGGGCCCCGTAATTACATATGCTACAGGCCCCGCACTATCTTAATCCGTCACTACTCACAACATACACACAACACTCAGTGTACACACATCACACTTAAAGTGTACACACTTCACTCACAACGTACATCACACTCAACATACACACATCACACAACTTATACATCACACTTACAACGCACACAAATCACACATACCCATCACACAGTGTTCACACAATGTACACAGATCACACATACATCACGCAACTTACACACATCATACTCAGTGTACACACATCACACTGACAAGATACGTCACAGTCAAAGTGCACACACATCACACTCACAGCATACATCACACACACAACTTACATATCACACAGTGTATACACAATGTACACACATCACAAACACAGTGTACACACATGACACTGACAAGATACATCACCTTCTTTGGTTCTTTCGGTAAAGTCATGTAGAATGAGAATAAAATAATTGATAAAATAAAATAACACAATATTCTCACGACGTTTCGGCCACAACACAAGCGGCCTTCATCAGGTGAAGGGACGAGACTGTCCTCCAGACGAGAATGTCCTCCAGACAGTCTCGTCCCTTCACCTGATGAAGGCCGCTTGTCCTCCAGACAGTCTCGTCCCTTCACCTGATGAAGGCCGCTTGTGTTGTGGCCGAAACGTCGTGAGAATATTATTGTGTTATTTTATTTTATCAATTTATTATTTTATTCTCATTCTACGTGACTTTACAGAAAGAACCAAAGAAGATGAATCCTTGCAGTCACGAAAGCTTTAAATCGAAAGATACATCACACTCACGAATACACATCACAGTCAAAGTGTACACACATCACACTCACAGCATACATCACACACACAACTTACATATCACACAGTGTATACACAATGTACACACATCACAAACAGTGTACACACATGACACTGACAAGATTCATCACAAACACACATCACACTCTAAGTGTACAGACATAACACTCAGCATACACACATCAAACTCCTAGTGGACGCACATCACACTCACCACGTACACACATCACACAGTGTACACACACTCAACGTACATCACACTCGCAACATACACAATTACACACACACAACGTATTCACATCATACACACAACTTACACATCACACAGTGTATACACAATGCACACACATCACAAACACAATGTACACACATCACACAACGTACACACATCACACATCATACTGTACGCACATCACAGCGTACGCACATTACAATCACCACGTACACACATCACACACACAACATACATACATTACACTCACAAACTCCCCTTAACTTGGTGAAGAGCCAAAAAATAAAATCGGTCAAACCTCATAAAATCCGTCTGAGCATCGCTGCCTGTTTTTTGCCCCCCAGTAGCTGCCGCCCATTTACGTCGCTAACACCCC